ACAGCATTTCTGAAGAGTTTAATTTCCTGTCAATGCAGGAGGGGTGACTTTAGTCAGAAAATAAACATGGAATAAGTTTGAAGAGCAGAGACAATTTTCTGTTTTTAGAGAAAAGAAAAATATCTATGTGATTATCTGCTCTTATTAGGAACTCATGCGTACGTTCAAGGTTCCATTGCTCAACATAATGGATATTGTAATTTATTTTTAATTTTTAGATTGCAAATGGACTTGAAGTGAGCATTGTAAAATGAAGCTGATCGTTTTTTCAGGCAGTTGTCCAGTCTTCCTCAGCTGGTTAGAGTAGATGACTCAAAGGCTTAACAGGATATGGTGTTAGATACCTGTAGTTGACTGATTTGAATTTGGCCCAGGTTGGTAATGCTTGAAGTCATTACCATCTGTCTCTTTTTCAGTGACCTGTATATAATTAGCTGATATTCTTAGTCCAGTTCTTAGTAGACAGGTGTCCACATCATGAAAACTGGCACCAGTATCAGACTTGTTGGCTGTCTCAGCAGAGATTCTCTGCTGATGAACAGGCAAAGAAACAGTAACCTCCTTGTTTATGGAGGTATATTTTTCCCTTTTCAGAGTTCAGACATGCTGATGGATGAACATACGTAGAGACAAAGGCTATTGTGTGCTGCTGCATTTGTTGTATTTGTCTTTCAGTAGAGAATGTAGCCCAGTGTTTGAATTCCACGTTAATTTTTTAAAAATGCCCTACCTAGTTCTTCTGGCTTCCTAACAGAAATCTTACATATAGCAGGTGTCCTCAGCTGTTCTTTCTGATAGAATGAAACAAGAGAACATGCTTCATATGATGGCTTTTTTCTTTTTTTTCTTTTTTTTTTTTCCTTCACTTGAAAGATATCAACCCTATGCAGGCAGCAAGAATTTGGAAAGAGAAAGCACCAAATCTTTCACTTGTAGTTATATTTAAAAAAAAAATAAAAATCTGTAGTAACTAATTTTTTTTTTTTTAATGTAGCTGTAGGAACTGATGTAATGTAATTTAATGTAGTTTATGTATCCTGGAATTGATCTCATAATAGCAGCAAGAACTGCACTTGGCATTTAAGTTGTAGTTTGCATGTTGAAACCTTTGTACAGACTTGTTTGCTAATGTTCCCCATTAGTTGCGTGAGTCTTGGTGGCAAAATTTGCAATATACAGAAAGCCTGTGCAGGATTTGACTGTTTACATACAGTGGAGATCTCTGCAGTGACAGTTGCCTATGGAGACGTGGGGATAATGGAGCCCAAAGTCTTTCACTGGGAGCTGTGCTGCCGTTCAACCCATATGTTGGCATAAAATGCATGGGAGAGCTGTCTTATGTTCCTCTTCACAGGGTTAGGGCTTGGCATCGCTTCTTCAGCCCACATGTAGCATCTCTATCTAACACTGAACTATTCTGGCTTTTTGCAGGGGTTGCTTTTAATCCTGCCTGAGCTTCTTTGAAGTATATTATCTTGCAAGCAGTGATTCAGACTTAACTGTTCCCACTGCAGTGTGTAGGACTCTCCTCCTATTTCATTGACATAAAAATACACACGAGTATGTTATAAATAGTTCTTCAGCATTCCTGAAGATTTATGGTGGATAGATGCTTTCTGAACATCCATTGAGGGATAAGCCGAAATGATCATATTTAAAGTTAGTTGGCCTTCTTACAACTTGATGCATTTTATTGCCAGTAACAGAGTGTTAAGGATTCTAATAGGATCTTCTGCTTGCAAAGCCTGAGTTAAGTGGTGCAACACATTCATTTCAGAGGGCTGCTTAAATCACCAGTAAAAGTAGGTTAGGTGACTACAGATCACCTCCTCGTTGACAGGAATTCCCACGATTAATAATAGTTAAAAAAAAATAACCACGCATGACTCACTATTTGTACCCCTGCTATTGTTACCAGCTGGAATTGTGTTTTCTTCTAGAACAAGAAGAATAAGGGATAGGTTTTGGTGTCGCCTATTTCTGGATTGTCATTAAGTACTGGGATGTGCTAGAAAATCCAAGATTTGGCCTTAACAGCTGTGAACTGACAATGTAGGTGGAAGACGTGGAGCACGACAGGGCTGCAACTGGAGAAAAAGCATTAGGGAGATAATCAGCCTCACTGTCCCTTGCTGCTGTCTTTGCTCCTACCAAACATTTTACTGTTTGACCAAGGTTTTTGATGCAAAGCAAGGATTTGCATGTCAGTACTAGCTGGATAACTGTTATGATGCCTAAAATATTTCTAGATCCTCATTCATATGCCATCTTCTAGTGGCCTAAAATGTAATTTAACATTTGTTTTGTCACTGTACTGCCATCATGTCGGGCAAGCAACCAGAAGTAAACTTTAATTTCAGCCTTATTTTCTGCCTTCATTATTGTCTGAGAGTTCCTGTTTCCTTCTTTCTCATGGGTCCTACTAATAAATAAAGGTTTGAGAGCAGAATAGCAGTTACTAAAGAGTGAACTCAAGCATTATTTTAGTCCTGTGCTGCTGCTATAGGATTTCTAATAGCATTAAGTCGTAGGCTTGCTGATTTGGAGATTAGCTTCTTGGTCTTAGCTCTCCCCTTCTTTCTGAGAAACTCCAAAATATAAGCTTGCAAAAAGCCTCTGAACACTTATTGCTCATGAAGCTGTAATCACTTAATAAAACAAAAGAAATCAATGCCTGAGGGGAAGCAGCTCGTGCCTCTGGGAAAAACCTGTCCTTTTGCTCAATTTGTTATGATTATAAAATTATAGTGTTCTGTGAGCTAAAGAAAGAAGATATTGCCAGAGGAAAGGAGTTAAAGGTTTGGTTTTTTTTTTTTTTTTGAGGAATATTCCTATTTAGTTTCTTAGAACTAACAAATAAACCAGCTCCTGAAAGGGATTCAGGAACTGAGTGCAATATTCAATATTCTCTTATTATTGAGTAACAGAGACTAATGTCTACATTTTCTTTTAGAGCTATGTGGAAAAATGACTCTTTCATTTCTACAGAACTTTGATTTCAGAAATATTTCAAGTTCACATGAAATAAATATTTATGTATTTAAACCAACCCTAGATAAATTATAGGCTTGTGATTATGGAAGGTCAGGTATGATTGGATCTCTTGTATTTCTATGTACAAGTATGATTGGGCTTTTCGCCTCTATTTTGTAACGCTGCAGATGAGTGTCTTCACTTCCAGTATCTTGACAGCACTGGTATGAGTTTTTTCCAATCTCTTGGAGCTCTTCTGCTCTGCAGAAATAATTATATTCAGGAAATGTGGTTGGACTACGTTGTCAGTAAAATGAGTGGTCTAAACACCCATGGATTTCCCTGAGCTCATGAACACTTTATTATTTGTAGAAAGGGGAGCAGCTTCCATTTGACATGTTTAGAGAGCAACCCGCTGCAAAACAAACAGCATGGTATGGAAGTGTGCTATCTGGAACCAGGGAGTTCCTTCTTAAAACCTCTTTAAGACAAACATGCCAAACTATCCAACTTTTCAGGGACTGCTGAGCTACCAGCTGTTGTAGGGTGAATTTTCTTTAGATTTTATCTTGAAAAAATGTTCTTCTGTGAAACTGTTGACTTCCAGCAAAGTAATTTCTTTGACATTTAGCTGAAAAATTCTTAGCTGTACTTCTCTACATAACTTGCGAACTGTTTAGTGAAATAATTTTACATAGTTTTATTTTACTTTTTGTTCACAGTTTGACACTTGTTCTAGGTGCAAGAAGTATAGGTTCCCTGTTTCCCAGTTGCTTCTTTCTTTTCCTCCTTTGAACATTTGATTCAAAGTGCCATCAGTGAACAGTGATTTATTTTTTTTTTTTAGTTTAGTTTATTTTTCTTTCTAAGAGGGACACATTATTCTGCTGCTAACAGTCTTAAGTCTTTCCTCCTTTCATTTTTAGATTGCAAATACTATGATAAAGCCTGAATTAACAGACTCGAGCCACTTAGCCTCTTTAGAAATTTGAGTTGTAAGGGTTTAGTAACTGTGGCTGTGAATTTGTAGATCATACTTTTTTTTTTTTTTCAAACGAATACTGTTTGGTAAGACTATTAGTAGATTTTTTTATTATTATTTTTTTTAATTTATGATGTGAGTTAATTACCTGAATTAAACTGTTAGCTAGTGCTTTGATCACAGAATCATCATAATAACTGGTAATGATTAGCAGCTTTCTAGCCTTTTACATCGGGAACAGACTTAAATCCCAGTGAAACTGGTTAGTGCATGTGTTACTTGGTTTAAGGGGAACTGTAGAGTGTACTGTAGAGTGAATGCTCATCTGAAATTTCAAGGTGTTTTTGTTCTGTAGTAAAGGAAATTATATATTAAAACAAAACTGCATTCTGTGATGGTTGCTATGCCATACGCAGCTGTGAGAGTGCAAGACGTCTGCTCGGTGCACTGTTTTTAAGGGTGTCCTAAGTATCACTAGTTCTTTCAAGATAGGCTTTGTAGCATGTGGACCTAGGTCCCAGCCCCTTAAAATGCTTAGATATCCAATGTTTATTCTGATTGTTAGTATTAAAGCACTTAAATACATCTCAGAATATGGATGCAGTTCTTGATCCTGCAGTACTAAATTGCCCAGTGCATGGCATGCCCATATCTATAGTCCAGTTATTACCAGTAGGACCAAATGTTAGTAATAAATGCCTTGTGGAATGTGGATTTCCTGAATTCAGTGCTTGTTGTTAATTAGCATGGTGTTTTCAGTGAGCCTTTTAATTTTTTGGCATCCGTTTTCTTCTCCGTTGAGTCAACATTGGTTTTCTGAATGGGGATTTGCATGGAAATGCTGCTTTTGATTTACTTATGTGGTAAAGGTAATTGAGCAGTGCTTGTTATTAGAGACTCATCTGAAATGACCTATGTTTGCATTTTGCTCTTACTCATCCACAGAACCCTCAATGCGATAACTGTTCACATGCCAGGATCATTTATGGGAATTGTTGACCTGCAAAATTCAAATTTTCTTGCTCACTTCCTTTTCATACATTAGGTCCTGTTACTGAAGTCAAAACAGATATATATGTCACCAGTTTTGGACCTGTTTCTGATGTAGAAATGGTATGTATTTCTGGGATTAAAATGACATTTCCTGGTTCTGAGACAATATTAACTGCAGTAAGGAGTGGATGCTTCATCTGTACTGTTCTGTCAATCATGCAAAGTAGGCAAGATTAGTAACAGCTTAATTTACAGGTTATAATTAGATACATCAGGCCTGATTCTGGTCACACTTTCACTGGTTTTTGGCTGGCTTAAAGATTTAACTTCAGAGGATTTTTAAACAGACTTTCATGGTGTAGAGGCAGAATCAGGCCTTGTGGGGAGTGTCTAAGTCAGTCTACTGTGGGGAAAACATGTAATATCTTTGAAATTGCTTTTCCTTTCTGAAAGTTGTGTTATTCTCAGGTGAATAATAATGACATCATTTCACAAATACTTGTTGATGTTTTCATTTCAGATGAATGCCCTTTCCTGATCTTTATGCCCCTTTTAGCATCACTTTCAGCAAATTTTTGGCTGATAAGAGTTTCCATAAGTGTCTGCAGAAATTTAACGTCAAAGTGACGTGCATGAAATTGTCACAGAAGATAAATGTTACATTTGCACATACTATTATTTGTGCCTGAACAGCATCTGCATTCATTTGAGGTCAAATCCAGCAAAACTCTCATCTCCTTCTATAATGGAGTGGTATACCCTTACATCATGCAATAGTTTCTCTTTTTTAAAAAATACCTAAGAAATCCCATGGAAGTAACACAGCCATATGTGCTGAACTGAACTTCTTTAAGGGAAAGACAGTTTTAGGGAGGTAACTTTCTTCGCATATAGTGCTGTCATGCACTTTGTGTTGCACCTGAATTGGTCTTATCATGGGGAAAGGTATGTGATAACAAGATATTTTTTCAAGGGCTACATTCGTGACAGCAGTCTCATGTTGAAACGCATCTTGCCCCTTCAATGGTTGTCATGTACAGTATGACGCTGTTCAGTGTGACAAGGGGTACAAGAATCTGATCCCAAGGAAATCTAGTAATATGTGTCTCAAATCTAAAGAGGGCTGCATGGCATCTCCTAGGTTTCACTGAAGCATCTGACATGGTGCCACATAGGAAATTATATTGGAGAAGGCAGGAGTGAGAACATGGACTGAAGGTAAGTAAGGAACTGGCAAAAGGAGAGTTTACAACATATGTTTTCCCTTTCATCATTAGGGATTAGTTAGGAGGCTATTCAGAGATCCAGGAATTGTTTCTGGAATAATTTTGAGTTAATGTATCTGTTAGTGACCTGATGTAATCTGAATATGGCTGCACACATAAACCTCGCTGAAAGAGCCAAGTGTGATATAGTCTCAGTACAGGGGATGATCAGAATGTCTTTTTAGAGCTGGGTTACTTTGGTACCCAGTGGAATGAAAACAGGTGAAATCTTACATTACAAAATCTGTAATATACAAGCTAATAACAGAAACTGCTACTTATGAGCTATGAAGTCACCAGCAAGGAATGACACTAGAAAAGAGACTTTTCATAGATTAACTATAAAACACAGTGGAGGATGCAGTCATGGAAAAGAGGACATATATAATTCTAAGATGCATTATACTAGTAGACGTGCCTCCTTGCCAATGCAAATAGGTACGGCCATACAAGTAGTTTCAATGATAATATTATGCAAAAGAGTTTGAAATAAAGTCAGATAACATTTTATGGCTTAACAACAAAATCACAACTATAAGTTAAAAAGGAGTTAAAGCTTCCTGTGTTACCTTTTTCAATGCCACATTATGCCTTTTTTTGTGAAATGCTTCAACTTCCTGAGATGAGAAATTAATTCCTTCATCCATTCATTCACATGTGATTTCTCATGATGTGCCTTTGTCTGCAGTTCTGCAGTTGTTGTTTGCACATTTTCTCTGGAGCATCTGAATGACTATTCTGAGAAAGTTAATGGGATAGTTACGTAGTTAAAAACAAATGTGTGTATATACAAGTCTATATATAAATTATCATCCATGTTTTGTGGGCATGGCAAAGGAAATATTTAGCTTTACTCAGTTAAAAGCTTACTTTCCATGACCTGAAATTAAATTTTCTTTCTTGACTTTAAAGTGGAAGTAATCATTTGTCCTATTATTTTTAATTCAGCCAGCAGCAGAAATCCATGGATATTTTTTCTTTAAAAATCTGTTGACACTTACTGTCAGAGATCATTTTGTTTCCAGTTATATGCTTGACTACAAATTCAGTTGCCTGCTTCATGCAACCTAATTAGATTAATTATTCCTTAATGATTAAATATGTGTAGCAATTTATTGATATGACTAATGTGGGAAATTAAGCTATTAAGAAGTACACAACATTTCAATTGGTGGAAATACATTTGTGTAGTGGACTTAGCATTTTCTTTACTACTGATTTCTTTGCTTCTGAGGGATTTCTTTTTTTACAGGAAACACACATGCAAATGTGATCTTTGTTTTTCTGCAATTTAATACAGGAATATACAATGGATGTCTTCTTCCGTCAGACATGGGTAGACAAAAGATTAAAATATGATGGCCCTATTGAAATCTTAAGACTTAACAACTTAATGGTTTCAAAGGTGTGGACTCCTGACACTTTCTTCAGGAATGGGAAAAAGTCTGTTGCACATAATATGACAGCCCCAAATAAACTCTTCAGAATAATGAGAAATGGCACCATCCTGTACACAATGAGGTATCTAACCTGTTTGTTCGGCTTCTTACAATTATTTTATGCAAAAGTTATACTGCCTAGACAAAATGGCAACCAGAGACTATTTAATTTGTTCCATTATAGGCTTACAATAAGTGCAGAGTGTCCCATGAGATTAGTGGATTTTCCCATGGACGGTCATGCTTGTCCTCTCAAATTTGGGAGTTGTAAGTTGCAATATGAAATTTCTTGTAACTACAGAATTTAAATAGTAGAAGTAGATTTTGAACAATTACTAAACTTTCTGAATATTAGTCTTGATATGCAATCCTTATGCAGACAAAACTCCTGTTAAGTTCCTTGGGTACTTTATTTAGGGCCTCAAAAATTAAACCCAGGCAGAGAATTGAAAAGCAGGCAGTGATTCAGCTATTATGTTAAACCCCACTATTCTGGCTACACAGTTGCTTGAAAGATGTAGTTTCTCCTGGTTCTTAGGGAGGAATTGGATACTCAGTGAAGTGAGAGATTCACTGGAGAAGACAAAGAGGGTGGCATCCATCTCAACTTACAACAGCCAGGTAAAAGGCACCTAGGGAAGCAGATTGTTTGACTTTCTTTACAGTTAATGGAGGCATATTGACAACCTAAGATAGATGTGTAGGTTATGTGCAGAGATTTGATCTTTAGTTGTATTTGTCTGTCTCCTGGCCTATAATGGGAGTCTGCATGGCAAGTTTAGACTAGATAAATTTTTAGACTGGTGAGAGGAATCGTAGTGCAGGTGACTTTCATTTTCTGCTTTGAAGTCAGACGTAGATTTTTGGATAATCTCCAAACTTTGGCTGGAAGGAACATTTTGGGATGTACCGCCTGACAACTGAGGGAGGTAGTTATGATTCCCTGATTTGAATCCACAGCAGAGACCTCTGAGACCACCTGGGGATGGTTGGTGCACTGCATTAACTATCTTGTCACACTTCTGAGGCTCCTTGGTCACTGACCTCTCTGCTTTACACTCTGATGTAGTCAGTGGCTGAACATTAATCTGTTTTCCTTGACCCCAGAGCTCTGAAGTTAGAAATGGCTGGAAGCTCCTTGTAGTCTTTCTTTAGCATGAATTTAGCTTATACAGTTGGGTAGTCAATAAGAAGGGGATATTAAAGACACTGCTCTGATAAAGTTTTTCATCCCTGTTATGGTGAGACTGGAGACCAAGTGCTGCCAGGTTTGGCTTTGGTATCAGCTATACCGTAACAGAGCTTTGATAGTGGGGGCTTCTCCACAGGCATATTTCTTCAGAATCACCAGCCAGCAGAAATTGTGCTTGACACTAATCTGTTTCCTCGGTGAAACTTAAAATAAGATGTAACCATTTCAAATGCAAGACTGATTTAATTTAATTTTAACAGGAGTTTGGGCTGTGTAGGGATTGAATGCTAGCCCTTTGGTAATAAATGTAAAATGTTTCTTTGGATGTGCTTATTTTTGGGCTATTGTGAATTTTTTACTGACCTCTAGTTTCTGGCAAATATTTTAAACACAAGTTTAAAATATTATAGTTTTTAGTATAATAATTCTTTTCTGTAAAGAAATGTGCACTCAGTCTCCAAAATGTATCCTCCTTATACATGCTCTTTTTTTTGTATATTAGTATATTTTAATGATAAAATTTTAGATAGAAATTTCTAAAATAAACTTTACATGCCCAATAAGGGCTGATCCAGAAAAAACTTGTGTTTAGACTTCACATTCAAATATGAAGTGTATTTGTGTGTGATGCTTGACATATGACTTTAGCTGCTATTTATTCTCCTCTGAGGGTGGCTTTTGGGGGTAACTTAACATGAAGGGTATCTTCTAAAGTTGTTAGTGTGAGTCTTCCCGTTCGGTTTCAGTAGGTTTGGATTGAGGTCTTAGTAAGGTGTGAGAAGTTGTTTCCTGTTTATGCAAACTGATGCTGTGTTGTAGATGCTTATCCAAAGAGTGAAATGATTTATACCTGGACAAAAGGACCTGAGAAGTCAGTGGAAGTTCCTGAGGAGTCTTCCAGTTTAGTTCAGTATGACCTACTTGGGCATACAGTATCCACTGAAACCATTAAATCTATTACAGGTAGGAATCTTGTCAGTAAAAATCGGTAAAACTAACCCTGTAACATTGCCCGAGGCTTTTTTTTTTTAATTCCCATCCTGTAAGGTATTCTGCTGAATGTCATAGGGTATATATTAAGGGTTGTGAGCATAAATCTGAATTAGGTTTCTGTCCTTCAGATTTACATTTACAGATTCATTACAGTAGATTGTGACGGTCTTTCAGAAAGCTAGAATGAGATCATTACTCCAAGGGACAAAATGAGCATTTAATCACTGCTTAAAATGCAGTTTGAAGAGTCAAGAGGATGCCTGGGTGAGGAAGTAATTTCTCAGCACTGTATCCACATTATGTGCAAAAGACTTCCTTTGTTTGGCAGTGCAAACAACTCGGGATAGAAGTACAGCATACAGAATGGGTTATTAAAGCCATAAAACCCTCTAGTCAGATAAGGAGAGGCACAAATGCATTAGGCACAATAGATACTTCTGCTGATTTGTGCTGTAAGAAATAAGGCAAATGGCAACTACAGGCATCTGAAATGAGTGAAGTATCACTGATGAGCAGTCTGGTGATAAGCATATTTTTAAATTTTGGAATCATTTTCTAAATATCAGCAAGTTTGGGTGTTGCAAGATGGTCAAAATGAAACAGATAAAGCAAATATATCTGATGTATTGCTCTATGGATATTTTTCTCAAAGATAAAACAGCGTTTTTCGATACACTAGAAATTTATTTGTCAGCATACTGATTATTGTGCATTAACAACAGAATTTCCTTACTGTCCTCAAAATACTCAGTCTGTAGTGCTTTATTTAGACACTTTATTACATTTTAGATAATCTTAGTGTGTTTTTAATTCTTGTCAATGATTTTGGCATTTGTTTCATTATCATAGTGGTACTGATGTATAAATCTAGTAAAAAGATGAGATACTTCCATAACATTTGATGTGCATCACTGTTCTTACTGTTTTATTTGGCAAGTAGGTACCACAATGTTATGGATACTATGGTCAGTAGATAGCTTGTGTCTTGGGACTCTTTTCTTCAACAGCTACCAAAAGAATTTTTGAAATCGCGCTTATACTGTAAAATGTAATCCAGTATTAGCTGTACCTTTATAGTATTTTTGATATTAGCTTCTGGATAGCACTGTAAGGACCTAGTACTTCCAGGATTTTTTGTTTAAAACTTTCATTCATTCTTGTCTCTAAGGAACGTATCTTTCTATACACGTTAAGTGGTATGAATGGCATCATTTTAAACAATCCTAGCTGATAGTCTGAAACAGTTATTCTGCAACACAAATTTCATACACAGCAGAAAAATATTTTCTTTTCTTCTTTTTTTTTTTTAGGTGAATATATTGTTATGACGGTTTACTTCCACCTCAGACGGAAAATGGGTTATTTCATGATTCAGACCTATATCCCATGCATTATGACCGTGATCCTTTCTCAAGTTTCATTTTGGATAAATAAGGAATCTGTTCCAGCTAGAACTGTGTTTGGTAATTACTTCTTTTTTACTTTTTCTCGTACTTCCTCTTTTAATGACTCTAACTAGAATAGGACTTTTTAATACATTGGGGTATACTGCATCCATACTACTGCAGAAACAAGGCAATAATGTCAATTCAGAGGAATTTTTGCTATCGATGTATGAAGAATGTTGTTTTGTGAATCCTTGGAATCTGAAGAGAAACTTGGAATATATAACCTGAAGCGTGGCATGGTTGCCTGTGGCAAATGGGTGTACATCTCTGGGGATTCCACCTGCTTGGGGGAGCAACCTCTGAGGACCTGGCCCTGAGTAATACAGTCAAGTCCTTAGTCTACATCCAGAGCAGTTTTATCCTCCAGTGGACAGTAGTGTGATTACTTGAACTCACACTTTCTAAAATACTTTTGAAATAATTTGATTGGGTGTGTGCAAGATGTACAGGTGTCTTATGATGTATCTGTGTCATCCGTGGAAGCTTCCTATGAGTAAGGCTTAGACCCTGTTACTGTACATTTAGTGCTTTTCTCTCCTTTCTGCCATTGCCATTATGAAAAGGAATTAAAAAAGCAAAATGGTCACAAGATATTAAAATTGCCCTCACCAAAATACAGCTTGAGTGAGATGCTACAGTGAACTCTGAAAATAAAAACCAAAAAACTTCTATGGAAGACAAAGCATAAGAAATTAAATGAAAATATGATTCCTAACAAAGAAGTATGATAAAAACATTTTTTAAACCAGTCTTTATAGAGCAATGCCTTGACTTTATAATGTACTGTAGTCTAAAGCAGGACTAATCAGGAAGAGAATGTTCTACAAAAAGCCTTTCTATAGATAGATAGGTAGATGCTGGCAAGAGGAATTAATGTTTCTATGCGACAGCCCATTCAAACATGTAAGTGGAGTCAGAGCACTGTTTAGTATCACAAATTAGACAAGGTTAATGATTAGTTATAGGAGAAAGAACCTGTAAGCCTAATAAGAACGCCACTAGCTCTCAACTCAAGCATCACATTAGGCAAACTAGTATATCACTTCACATGCCTTTGCAGTGATGTTGAATAATGCTGCTTTTTTTTGAAGGGAGTATTGCCATGAGCTGGAAAGGTAGAATCAGCATTTACAGAAAAAGTGTGATAATTAAAAACATACAAATTTTAGAGCAATAGATGTAATATGTGTCATTACATCCATAGGTGAAACTGAAAACAAATAATAATAATGAAGTTTGGACATCCACTAAGTTACAGATAAGTCTCTAAAATGTCTTTGAAAGCCAATGGCTTAAAGTATGGCTAAAAGTATCTTTTTTGTTTTCTGACAAATTCCAACAAGGACACTGTTTTCTGAAGGTTTTTTTTTTTTAAAAAGAAGATAGAAATGTCGCAGGCAAGAGATAGGAATGAAGCCGGAATACCTGCTATGGTACCAACTTTCTAGAGGGACTGTCAGAAGAGGCTAACCAAAAGATCTTTCCATTGGAAACTGCAAGATTAGGGAGACCTTGGCAAAGGTAACAGAGGTAGGATACACAAGGAAATAAGGTACATCAGATCGTGATTTCTGCAGTCAGAGCTTCAGACATGTGAATCTGATGATTGTGGGAGACTGGTGTTTCTTAGAGGAAAGACAGCAGTAATTTTTAAGCAAGTTTTTAACATTTTTTTTTTTTTCATTAAAATAATATATTTTTATATGGTTATGTGCATTCTAATCAGAAACTTGCAAGCTAAATAGCTCTGGATAGTTACAGTTCATGTGTATAAACAGTATTTTTTACAAGAACTTAATTCCCTACCCTGTAAATCCCTATGGCACGTATCTAAGGACAGTTGCAATGGCAACTGCAAGTCTCCCAGAAGAATGATTTAATAGGGGGAATTCTGATAAAGATTATGGCAGTGAACTGTAACACTGCCACCGTCTTCCCTCTTCTCCTTGCATTTGGGGAATAGGTGGTCATTCAAGTCACTTCACCTTATTCTTACATCTATTAAACAAATATCTTTAGAAAGACAGTGCAGACAAACTATTTGCTTGAAGTGGACAAAGGTAGAATCAGGAAGGATAGGGCTAAGCAGGGATGGGTCTCTTCCAGGAAAAAAACACTTTTCATAATTTATTTTTTTTCTCAGACTTAAACATTTTCAGTGGTGTGTTTTTGAATGCTTTCCCACTGAAGAAGGTATTGTGAGCTTGCATCTGTGTTTTTATCCTGCCGAGGTTGCACTGAGATATTCTTTGTGCTTTCATGAACTGGCTACTACTCTTTTTTTCTTTTTTTTCCTCCTTCAATAGGAAGGGCTGGTTTCATTGTGTCCAGTTCTCTGTATGACAGTGACTAGGTGAAGCTTTTTCATATCAGATTACCCAGATGAAATACCACCATTTAGGGAATAGGGGATGTGAGGATCCTGTTGGAAAACATGCTTTTAATTATTTATTGAATTCTTCTGAGCATAGGCATTTCATCTTGAATTAAAATGGGTACAGTGTTCTTTTCATAAGGGTAAAGGCATCTCCATTTGTAGTCAGTCTTCCTTGAGGTTGTCGTGGTAGGACTTACACAGTGTTCATTATATACTCGGAATTTTACATTTGTATGATATGGGATATTTTGGATGAAAAAGGAAAAAAAAAACACCATACCTTGGTTTTATACAGCATGTATTCGCATTTGAAGTATTACCATGAAGTAGCCATATTTTGAGTTCAACATTCATGCTTGTACACTTTAATTAAAAAGTTGCTCTTTCAGAAGATTAAATTCTAATTAAATTTCATCAGTTGACTAGTAGCAGAAGGGCTTAAAAGATAAGGTGATGGTTTCTTAATTAACAGAGTTGTTAACATAATATTCTAGTTTTTCTTAGCACTGAAATAATTTGCCATGACTTAATGGCACCTGAATTACGAGTGGGATCAGAGGAACAGACGAAGACTAATAGGTGACATTCTGAACCCATTACAGGAAAAATCATGTTTTTGTTGCAGTTTGAGGAGCACTCTCTTATTTCACAACTTAAATTATGTTCAAATGTTTAGAAAATAACTTGTAAGAAATTCTACTGAACCTGACATGAAAAAACCCATGAAATACAGGCTTCCATGTTTTCTTCATGTGAACTGCAGATGATCTGCTGAAGTCCCAGCTTTCCATGCCACCTTTAAAAACTAGTTAACTGTTTTGTGTGTGTAGCTGCTTATAGATATATGATGGTTGCCATGACTTAAATCTAATGCACTATTCAGAAGCACCAGAGAAAGACTCCTAAGTGATTTAAAATTCTTTGTTTGAAGCTGCTTGCCTGTTCTCGCTTTGTTTACTTGGATTCAGCAGTGCTTCTGCTTTATTTCTTTGAAGGAATAACCACAGTGTTGACAATGACGACACTGAGCATCAGTGCAAGACATTCACTGCCAAAAGTATCCTATGCTACTGCCATGGACTGGTTCATAGCGGTCTGCTTTGCCTTTGTGTTCTCTGCTCTTATTGAGTTTGCTGCTGTCAACTATTTTACTAATATTCAAATGGAAAAAGCCAAAAGGAAGACGGTAAAATCCCTTCTTGAATTTCCAGTTGCTCCAGTACACAGAGAAAGAAGTACAGAAGAGACATTCATGGTATGTTTTCAGCTTCTACACTACCAAAAAGAAAATGTTTGTTTGTTGGTAAAAACAGTCCTTTAACTTCCTCCCAGGTTGACTTTGAGCTACAGTGCAGTGTAAGTCAGCCTAATGGAAGGCTAATGCTACACTATATTCAATGATTAAAAACCTGTAAAACATGATTTAATTCTTACTTGCATTATTGGATTAACTTGGGGAAGAGGAGGAGATTGCGTCCATCCATACCTGCAGTCTCTTCTATGTTTAGTTGTGCTTTGGTGAAGGTCAGTTAGGATGGGTACCTTCAGGAAACTTTCTTTCCCTTTGCACATTGATTCCGATTGGACTAATTGTACAGATCAATATTTTACAGATTATAAGGGCAGCATGTTATCTTATGTGGCTAATGTCTTTAATGAATTAAAATACGCTAAAGCATTGCAGTTGTACCTTGGAGCACTTTCCTAGACAGTTCTCCCTTCATTGCATGTATTGCCTATGTAGAGTTTTCTTTCTTCATCAGTTACAATTTCAGGAATTTTGAAGAATACTAGATGAAACCTTTGTGTCCACCATAGATTTCATTTTTATGTAATTGGTGTATCTTTGCACAGGAGCTCATCTCAACTTCTGAAAAGGTTTTGGGGCTCTGCTTAACGAAATGCTTTCCAGCTTTCATAGTGCTTCAGATTAAGTGCGGCTTGTGTGGTAGCTATCTTTGTGTGTGGACTAGTTAGTAAAGGCTCGACTTCATTTCCAGTTGAGCTCACCAGTGATTCTCCTTTCTTCCCTTTCCCCATTCCCAGTGCTTACTTCCTGCTGCATCACTCCTTCTGTTCATGAGACACCGAGCTAACAAAGCCATTACAGCACTTGGACTGGCCGTGCAGTAGGCCAGCAGTTCCCAGCCATGGCTTACTCTTGGCAACACAACTCAAGAAGTAAGACGCTGACAGCAGCATTGTAATTTACTCTTCCTGTCAGGCTGACTTCGTAACTTCCTTTGGCTGAGCCATGATTTAAGAAACGCTGTTTTGTACTAACTCTTGGTAATTTTGTCTTCTGTCTCTCTTCACATCTCATTTGTCTCCTACCTTATTCATCTGCTCTTTTTTGCCTTCCACCCCTTCCATTTGCTATCGCTGCTCAGCTGCTGTCCACCCACTTCCATTTTTCTTCCTCCTCTTTGCTCTCCTACCGTAGATGGTTACTGTTTTCAGTCTCCTGGTTGTTAGCTCCCATTTCTGCTTAAAAGGATAGATGTACTCCTGAAGGATTTGTTACTCATTACTCCATTGGCTGCTAGTAAGAGGTGGGAACAAGAATAAGTATGTATATAGTAGCATATAGTTCACCTTGTACGTAGAGGTATTAGTGCCATTAGTTTATGCTAAGCTTCTTGATCGTACAGCATGCAGTTTAGTATAGTACCTTGGGCGCTCCTGAGGAGTGTTAATCAATACTGCTTTTGGTGATAGTCAGATTTTACTTGTGTCCACAGGAAATTAATTACGTAAGAGCAGTTTCATCCTAGGTTTATTTATAGGATTTGATTAAAACAAAAGGAAAAATAGTACTTTTCTCATGTAGCAATGATGGACGCTTAACAAAACTGTTTTGATTCATGGTCAGAACTGCTGTAAGTCAGTCTGATATCATACTTAGCCATTTACACACATGTTTTGGAGAAACTCTCTTTTTTTTCTGTGGGTGGTTTTGTGTGGTGTTTTTTTTTTTTGTTGTTTTTTTTTTTGACTGCAACAACAGAACACACAGAGCTTCACCCAACTCGAAAGCTAGGTGAAATGAGATGTGAACAGGTCTATTCCACTGCTTAATTAATACCTCTGTAATAAATGTGGTAGTGTGCTTGCAGGTTTAGGGATTTGGAAAGCACTTGAGAGAGCAATCTACTTTTTTTGAAGGGTTATGTGTTAGTGTTAGGAGTGAGTGAGTGATGTTGATTGTACCTTGAACTGTGTGGTGTGGTGGGGGTTGTTTTTGTGGGTGTTTTTTTTTTTTTTTTTTTTAATGGCTTTTTCTCCAGCTATGCCTATGCTAAGACTTGAGTCTTTGCTCTTCCAGGACAGGCATACAGGGTGAGCCCACAGGTACTGTTGTAAAGGCTTAGCTGTTGTGCCGTCCTTTCCGTGACTGGAGGATGACTTCTCTTCTGGTCTCCTGCTGTGCGGAACAGAAGCTAATATGACTGTTAGACTCTGCCTTCCAACCTGATATGTAATACAACCCTCTCCTTACAATTTTTGCTTTTCCTTATGAAAGATTAATCTAGAATTTTCTTATGCCTTATTATGGATCTGTTTGTTTGTTTGGTTTTTTTTCCCTTGCACATATACTGCCTAATCATTGCTGATTTACCAGAGATAACAGAGTCTCAGCTTCCCTGTGAGTTTGTGGTACACAAAGAATGCAGGACAATAGCCTGACTGTAGCATGTAATCTGTAAGCATTGTTTTTTAACATAAAGACTACACATTTTATCCCCATAAATGGTAGGCTTTGATTTCTTAACCCAGTTAGCGTTTAAAAAAATGTCTGTACTACGTTGCCAGTATTGTGCTAGAATTTTTCTTGTTACCAATATAATTGCCAGAGCTCAAGGAAAGGTTTAAAATAAAACTTGGAACTTTTTTCAAACAAACTTTACCTAATCTAGTAAATTTGCCAGTCTCCCAAAATTAGAAGTTTACACTTAACCCAGGGAGGAATTGTGTGTAAATTGGGAAAGAAGATGCTTGAATACCTAAACCCCACAGTTCTTCCTGGTGTATATCTCACCATTTGTAACCTACTTTGGATCTTCTGCTTATTGGAGGGGGAGATCCCTCTCTTATGCCTGTTAGCCCTATACTTTTGCCTGCCTTGAAATGGCATACAGGTGGCTGTGCTGGCTTTTCACAGTTGAGGTCCCATCTGTATAGGTCCACTGAAAACAAGAAAAATACAGAGCAATTGAGGCTGTTAAGGAAAACAAGCAAGGTGGTATTATACTTTTAAATGAAGGTTTCATTTTATGGGCTGTTGATTCTGCATTATTCACTGGGTGGTTATGTGCATTTGATTTTATTTTTTTTTAATTTTATTTTTTTTCTCCAGTAATGTGGTGGCTTTGTCCTAGAGGTGTTCTAGGAGGGAGCAAGTTGGGCTATAAAACTGGATTCCCTATAGAACGTGGGGATTTTACTATCTGATAGTACTAGAAATTAGGCATATTAATAGTAAAGTTTGAAATAAAGATAAATTGCATGTAGTTGGAAGTCCTTTTTTGACATGTATGTGTTTGAAAAATTTCTGACTGTAGAATTGGTTTTCTGTATTGAATCAATTCGTATATTATTCATGCTAATTAGAATTCTTGGTGGTGTGTTATTTTCTTTTTCTTTTCAGTCAAAAACACTTTTCCAGTTGTCTTGGTTCAAAGGCAACTCCTATCATTATGATCAAATTATTTTGGATGTGTTCATTCATATTATGTGTTTCTTCACCACAACCAATACATCTTTAGTGTAGCAAATGTGGACTATACGCTTTTCTAAGTTATTCTCTTGTGCAATTACATGTACTTTTTTGGAGCCACACGATGGGTGTCACTGATGAATATACTGATTACAGTAAGCATTAAATGAATTTTGAAGGCTAGCTAAGTAATCTGAACTGTGTTAATTATAACAAAAAAATCCTGGTGTCAAGCTGATTTACTGGGCTGGGGGTGGCAAGAATGAGCCTATAGTGCCTGCAGATGCAGTGTGTGCTCCTCTGTTGCTTGATTTGGTTTTAGCCATGGGATTATTCAACCTCTTTTTGCCTTCGTACTCCTCCCTGCACTTCACTTCAACTCTTTCTTCTTGTTGCCTATAACTTCCCGATACAAACTTAATGTGTTTCCATAACGAGGAGTGCAGTTCTGCAGTAGACATCCCATGAGTAGGACCCAAGCTTGTTTGAGATCTGCTTTGAGTTCGCAAGGGACTTGGACAGCCTTACTCATCCCTTCTGTCAGCCACAGCGAGATCCTACTGGAGTCTGTCTATAGCCAAGATAGATGACTTACACCATGGTATCCTGTGATTTCCTTGTCTTGGGAGCAAGTTAAAATGCTTTCAGTTTAGAAGGAATGAACCTGTCCTTAAATGTTCTGAACTCCTTTCTTTAGTAAAAGCAGAAGTATTGTTGCAAGTCAGGGTGTGATGGAAATGAATGATTTATAGTTTGTTATTGGACTCCTGAGTCTATTTTTGTGCTTCTGCACTATTTCCTTTTCACTGTATTGCTATGAAGTTTATTTTTAAAAACCTACCCAATTTTGGAGATGAAGAATGCTTCTGAAAAATAGTCTTAAAAAACAGGCTCCTAAACACCATTAACATGAGCTTCAACCTCAGCTGTTTGTTAAAAGAGTGTGAAACTTGGAAAAAACCAGGTCAGACTCAAACGAACCTTTTGAATGGAATAATTTCGTCAAACTCGATCACAAGTAGATTGTAACTCTCAAACTTTCATCCTGTTTTCTGAAGACAGTTAAGTGTCAAGTTGTCTTGAGTGAGTCCCGTAGCGTCTAATGGAGAAACTCAAGGGTCAAGCTCTTCACTGCAATGTAGGTGCACACTCATCTCCTTAACAGGAGCATTTATGCAGGGGTGGTGTGTGACTGGCATGTACCTGACAAGTTTACAAGAAACATTGTCATGTAGGCAACCTGCATATGTGCTTTCATGAGATTAAGATGTATTTCCTGTGATACGAAGTACTTGCCTTTTAGTCATATGATGGACACAGCTGAAGTTACATGACGGGGGGTGGGAGTAAAGTGGGGATCCTTTGGCAGCTTGTGGTGAACAGACATCTAGAGCAATTTGTCTACAGCAATTAATCTGGCTCATACACAACTCTGTGCCCCGTTTTATGACTTCTGGAGCAAGGATCAGGCTGGATAAGTTGTTCTGATGGACTGGGTACAATCCAGAGGCCATAGGCTAGAGAGGACTTTTATTTTT